CCAGAGCCATGGCCAGTTCATTGGACACCAGCTCAGTGGCGTCTCTTTTTGCAGGGATGGGGGTGGGGGGCTGTTTTTGAAGAGTTTTTAAAGTGGTGACAGGTACAGAAGTGACCAGTGCACAGAGCGTGTTTGGTGAGTCTTCATCCTCGTTACGTTTTCTGGACAACCGCACCGAGACACGGCGTGGGACATTCCTTGTTCCTCTGCCCAGACAGCTCTGTGGAGCCTGGTGTCCGTGCCCACATCTGGAGAGCCCATCGCCTTCATGGCACATTTCCAGACCTCTGTCCCTGGCATACTTCTTGGAACCCACACCATGGATGCGCTTGGGAGAGTTGAGGTGTGTTCTGTGGTCACCTCCTTGCTGATGGCAGGGTGACCCTGCTCACCGCCACTCTGCGGAGCCACCCTGCCAGGCCAGGTTGGAAAGGAGCCTGGCAGTGTCTCCTCAGTGAAGTCTTCCCGGGGGCTGTGTCCTCTTAGGCTTGGTTGCTCAGCAGAGGTTAATGCACCTGCTGCCGGGCTGTGGTGGGGGTCAGCCAGGGCTCGTGCTCCGGAGCGACAAGGACTGATGTCAGAGGCACGTGTCCACCGGGCACCTGCCGGTGGGCTCACCTGGGCTTGAGTCTGCCTCTCTTCCCTCTGATGCCCGCCTGCCCGGCTGGGTATCGGCGGTCACAGGTCCTCCTACGGGATAGCGAAGGGCCGTGGGCTGTGGAAAGAGCAGGTGGAGATCTGATCTTTAGGTGGTAGTGGAGTTACAGTTGTCCCCCTCACCCGCGGTCAGCTGCAGTTTGAAGATAAGGAGTGGAACATTCCAGAAATACGCCGTTCCTGAGTTCAAATCGCCTGCCCTTCTGAGCAACAGATACAATGTCCTGCTTCCCTGCTCTGTCCCTCTCCGTCCCGCTCCGTCCCGCTCCGTCCCGCTCCGTCCCGCTCCGTCCCTCTCCGTCCCGCTCCGTCCCTCTCTGTCCTGCTCCGTCCCTCTCCGTCCCTCTCCGTCCCTCTCCGTCCCGCTCCGTCCCGCTCCGTCCCTCTCCGTCCCTCTCCGTCCCGCTCCGTCCCGCTCCGTCCCGCTCCGTCCCTCTCCGTCCCGCTCCGTCCCTCTCTGTCCTGCTCCGTCCCTCTCCGTCCCGCTCCGTCCCGCTCCGTCCCGCTCCGTCCCGCTCCGTCCCTCTCCGTCCCTCTCTGTCCTGCTCCGTCCCGCTCCGTCCCTCTCCGTCCCGCTCCGTCCCTCTCTGTCCTGCTCCGTCCCGCTCCGTCCCTCTCCGTCCCGCTCCGTCCCTCTCCGTCCCGCTCCGTCCCTCTCCGTCCCTCTCTGTCCTGCTCCGTCCCGCTCCGTCCCTCTCCGTCCCGCTCCGTCCCTCTCCGTCCCGCTCCGTCCCTGCTCCGCCCCGCTCCGTCCCGTTCCGTCCCTGCTCCGTCCCTCTCTGTCCTGCTCCGTCCCTGCTCCGCCCCGCTCCGTCCCGCTCCGTCCCTCTCCGTCCCGCTCCGTCCCTGCTCCGTCCCGCTCCGTCCCTCTCCGTCCCGCTCCGTCCCTCTCTGTCCCGCTCCGTCCCTCTCCGTCCCGCTCCGTCCCTCTCCGTCCCTGCTCTGCCCCGCTCCGTCCCTGTTCTGCCCCGCTCCGTCCCGCTCTGTCCTGCTCCGTCCCTCTCTGTCCCGCTCCGTCCCTCTCCGTCCCGCTCCGTCCACTCCGTCCCTCTCTGTCTTGCTCCGTCCTGCAGGGATGGGGCTCCTCCCTCTGTCCCGCTGCAGATGCTCCTTCCTGTTGGTCACTTAGCCATCTTGGTGCTGAGGTAACTCAGTGCTTGTGGCCGTGTCACCCTAATCTTGTTTCGTGACGCCAAGCGCAAGAGCAGTGATGCTGGCAGTTCGGATACGCCCCAGAGAAGCCCCAGGTCTTCCTGTGAGTGAGAAGGTGTGTGCGTAGGTGTGCACACATCGTGTGTGCAGTGTCGGTGCTATTCGAGGCTTCAGGCAGCCACTGGTGGTCCGAGCGTATCCCCTGCCATCAGGGGTCTGCTGGAGTTCTCAGAGTCATCTGTGCCCCCCGTGATGAAGGTGCGTGGCCTCAGGCAGCGTGGGTTTCCACCTGGGTGCCCAGAGCTCGCACTTTGGTGAGTGGCCTTGTCCCTCATGCCCTCTGAGTGTGGCACCCGGGCACCTCTGCCAAGTGTGAGCCTCTCCTGTTTCATCTGTGACCCCTGCTTCTGGCTGTGTGCATTTGGGACTCCCCGTGATTGATAAACATAGATGGAGATCTCTGAGGACCAGGCCCTGCCGTCTTCCTGTTCTCCAGCAGGAGTGTGTCCCTGCCCGACGCTGCGCACCGGGCCCCGCCCTGTGTTCTCGGCCGGCCAGCGTCACGGTGTCCACTCCTTGTGCCTTGGATCCTGCCGCCTCCCCACGGCCGCCAGCACTGCCGTCCTCACCTGCTGGAGGAGGAAACACCATGGAGTCGTGTATTTCACAAATTTGTCGCGATTGCAGATTTTACATTGCTTTTATGAGCACAGGTTAGCAGCACAGACTGGTGCACAGTGTTCTTTGTTTCCCAGAGCGAGTCCTGCAGAAGTAGGAGGGACGGGACGGAGGGAAACAGGCTCAGCCTGAGAAATGGCAGAGGCCTAGCCTGTGTCAGATTTAAGTAGGGGGGAACCTTCAGCATCTGGCTGGGGTGGGGCTAGTGAGGGCGGAGGGAGCCTGGCTTTGGAGCTGAGCCTTGTCGGGCCACTTTCTAAAGGCGGCGGCGCATTGCCCTGCACCTTCGGGACAGTCCGGACACGAGCGCAGCACTCAGCTGGGAGTGTTTGCTGCAGGGGCTCGCTCCTGGAGTGGGCCAGGTCCTGTAGCTCTGTGGCCGGACGTTTCCCGGGACACACGCGGGACTTCTGGGTTCAGTTCTGTGTCTGCACTCATGAGGTTCCTCCTGCTGGACAGGAGGCTGCCTGACAACAGGGACCATGTGTGAGCTGGTCCCCGGTGCTGAGTGCGGAGAGGCCGCCGCAGTCCTCGGCACGAGCCGGGCCTGGCTGGACAGTGCCGTCCACTCCTCAGCTCGGCCAGGAGCCCCAGTGCGAAGGGTCCCATGTGACCTGCTGAACCAAAGACATGAACGTGACATGTCCCCTTGGCGATGTGCCCTCAGTGTCCTGGGGAGGTTCGGGCGCCGCCAGGAACCCTGTGTGTTTGCGCCCCTGGTCCCTGGCGCCCTCCCCGGCACGTACGCGAGCGTGCTTGTTGGGACAGAGCCTTGCGCAGCCACACATCTGTCATCTGCGACGTCATCCTGCTTCGGGGAGAGGCCTGAAGCTTTCCAGATGGGACAGCTCGGTGAGATTAATAACCTCCAAAGCGTGTTCGCTTTCTCACAGGAAGAAAACAAAACAAAAAACAAGTAATTCAAGGACTCCGAGTCTTGTGGGTCAGGACACGTTGAGAACAGCGTATGCATTCGCTAGCGGGACACTTCTGTTCCCAGTGAATGGCAGCAGGAACTGACGAACAGGAATTTCTTTTTTAAACAAAGACATTTGAGTGAAAATTAAAAGTATTCTGTTATTGGGGACATATTTGTGGTTTTATTGTTTGTTTGTTTTTCTTTAAAGCTGCAGTTTTAATTGTACTGGTGGAATGGCTGAGACTTTAGTCGGGATGAACTTCCTCTCACAGTCTGGGGGTGGAGGGTGCTCCCTAATTAAAGCGATGGTGTAAGTGGAGATGTGGGCGGGACACAATGCTGGCCTGGCCCCTCGGTGCGTGTGGCTGTGTCTCCATGTCTGTCTGCCGCCCAGTCTGCCCCGTGCGGGGGAGCAGGTGTGCTCGCAGCCAGCACGGTGGCCACGGAGCCATTAGAACGTTCTAAGTGAAGAGCTGGCTCCGTGTGGAGTCGCCGCCCGCGGAAGGGTGTCCTGGGCGAGGGCAGGGGTGCTGAGCCCGTCTCCAGAGTCAGAGGCTGTGGACGTTTGGGTGCCGCGTGCACCCGGCGGGCAGACGTCACTTGCAGGAGGGTGTGGGCACTGGAGTCGGGAAGGCCTGGGTCTTCGCTCCTGAAGCTCAGGCATCTTCCTCTGTGGCTGGGTGGCCATCGTAGAGGACTCGCGCTGTGACGGGCAGCGTTCCCCTCCCTCAGCTTCCTGAGACTTAAATGGAGGGCTTGATCAGGTGTCTGGGCTCTCTCTGTGTGTCATGTGCTCTCGGACCCTCAGGAGATGCTCGTCGTTCCCCTAGGGAGACAGATACCCAAATTCTGACCCAAATAGCTCAGTGTGGCACCTGGTAGTGGACATGAGTGAAGTGAGCCGGCCACGTGAGGAGTAAGGGACTGATGGATTCCATCGGGACCGCTGGGCGGCGGGGCGACCTGCAGGGCTCCGAAGGGTGAAGGTTGGGCCTTGGGGTGGGGTCTTGGAGCTGCGGGAGATGGGAGATGAGGCTGAGGCTCGGGTGTGGGCACTTGCACTTGCCCGGATGTCGAAGTCGTGCCCGAGAGCCACGGAGGCACTGGGCAGGCGAGCTCGGGCACTCTGGCCTGTAGTGGGGAGAGGGGCCTGGGGTGCCTGGAAGTGGGGGGCAGCCGCCAGGGCACACGAGGTTGTGGAGAATGTGAGCAGAGGCGGGAAGACAGGATGGGGCCAGGTGGCTGCAGCTGGAGAGGGTGTGGGAAGGGTCTCGGCAGTGGGTAGGCCACAGCCTCATGATGGAGGAAGGGGGCTGCGGTGCAGGCACTGAAGGGTTGTGAGCTCTCCGTAGAGAAAATGGAACATTTCAAGGATCTCGCAGAGCGAGGAACGGAGCAGGGAGGGGACAGTTTGGAAAAGGAGGGCATGGTGCATGTCCCGTGCTGCTGAGACAGAGGAGGGAGTCCTGCAGGGGGCTGAGGGCACTGGTGGCACAGGGTCCCCAGCGGTGGGGAAAATGGCCAGGCCAGCGCCCAGCCCACCGCCCCGCGCTCCGCTCATTTCCCGTGTGACGTGACCTCTTTGCCGTTCCAGCGCTCGCGCCTCCTGCACCGCCGCCACCCCCCATCCAAGGATATGCCTTCAAGCCTCCGCCCAGACCCGACTTCGGGACCTCGGGGAGAACAATCAAGTTACAGGCCAACTTCTTTGAAATGGACATTCCAAAAATTGACATCTATCACTACGAATTGGACATCAAGCCCGAGAAATGCCCGAGGAGAGTGAACAGGTACCGTTCCTCCTTTATTGATCCTGACTGATGGATGTGCATGATCTTTGTGTGCGAACACGAGGTTCTCACCAGTCCCTGCTCAGCGGGTCCTTCCGACTTTCTTCCCAGGGTGTTCTCATCGTGTCAGTTTTGTGAAAAATGTTTTTGTATCGAGGTGCAATGAATGCACACATGGGTGCAGTTGGGCGAGGCTACACCCACATGCCTGTCCCCCCCAGATGTGGCCCATGCCCTCGTCCAGACGGTCCCCACCGTCTGAGGTGTGTTCTGATCTGTGTCGCACGGATTCACTTCCTCTCCGTGTGAACGCAGCTGCGCAGCTTCGGGCTCGGCTCCCTCCGTCCACTGCTTTCGCCGGCACGGCGTTCCTGAGATCGACTGCATCCTTGTGTGTACTGGTACCTTCTTGTTTTTGTTGCTCAGGACTGTATGACACGAATATCCCATCATTTATTTATTCACCCTCTTGTTAGACGCTCGGGCTGTCAGGCTGTCGTAGGCATGAGCTGCTGTGACCATCCTTGCATCTCGACACATAACGGGGGAGGACTCGCTGGGCCAAGGGCCGGTGTAGGTTCAGTTGTGTGAAAACTGCCAGGTGGTCCCCGAAGAGGCTGTGCCATCATCTCCCTGCCCCGGCTCAGGACGAGCCAGTGCCTGGCGTTTCTGTTGGTTGCTCGTTTAGTTTCTTTATGCTTGGAGAACACACTCTGTACATTTAGTCTTTTGGAACCTATTAGGATTTATTTTATGGCCAAGCGTGTGACTTATTTTTTTAAACATTGTAACTTCATATATGCAACTATGTAACTTCATAGCAGAATTCCATTTCCCTCGGTACCTTTGGCCGGTGTTATCCTGCATGTTACTTCTATGGGTATTATAAACCCATGATCTGAAGTTATTTTACAGAATTAAGATGGTCCGACTACTCACATAGTAACGTTTCTGGGTCTCGCGTTTTCTCCTGCTGACCAGTGCCTCCATCTCGCTTCATCGCCCTGGCGGGAGGCACGCCGCCCGCCTTTCTTGCTCACACCTGCCGGTGGGGATCTCCCCAGCACCCCTCACCCTTTTCAACCTGTGAATGTGTTTATTTTCGAAAGATTTTTGTTGTTGTTGGGCATTGAATTCTAAATTGACTATTTCACACTCTCCCACCTTAATCCTCATTGTGTCTGAGGAAATGTCAGCTCATTTTCTTGTATTTCCTTCGTATGTAATTTGTCTTTTTTTTTTCTCTGAATATTTTTTATTTCAATTTTGCTTCTCAGCAGTGTGACTGTGATGTGCCTAGGTGTGGCTTTCTTTGTACTTATCCTTCTGGTGGTCATTAACTCTTACGTTTATTTGTATGTTGATATCTTTCTTCTTCAAATACTTTTCCTAGCCCTGGCCAGTTTGGCTCAGTGGTTAGAGCGTCGGCCTGCGGTCTGGAGAGACCCGGGTTCGGTTCCCGCTAAGGGCACGTACTTCAGTTGCAGTTTGTCCCCGGCCCTGGTTGGTCGTGCGGGTGGCAGCCACTCGATGTGTCCCTTCACGTCGATGTTTCTCTCTCTCCCTCCCACTCTATCTGTACAAAAAATGGAAAAATATCCTCGGGTGAGGAAAAAAAAAAAAATACTGTTCCTGCCCCGTTTTCTGCTTTGCCTCTGGGGTTGCAGCTCTGTGTCTGATGTTCGCTGTTGTCTCAGGTCACGGAGCCTGTGGTTTTTTAAAAACCCTCTTTTTTCAGTTTGAATAATCTTTATTGATCTGTCTTCAAGATCATTTTACCTATTCTTTAAAAAAAAATTTTCTAGTCTTCTATACTAACCATCCAGTAATTTTTTACTTTAGATATTACTTTCAGTTCTAGCATTTGCATTTGGTTCTTTTTCATAATTTGCAAGCTTTGTTGAGATTCCCCATTTGTTCACTCATTGTTTCACCTTTTTCTTGATGACCTCGAATGTACGTATAGAGAATATTTAGGTAGCAGCCTTTGTCTGCTAACGATAACGTCTGGCAGATTTTGTCTTAGATGACGTGTCATCTTTTGTTGTTCATTCACACCTACGGTGTATATTTTGTTACTGAACATTATGTACGTCACACTGAAGGAACCTGGCTTCTCTGGGCCCTGCCCATACACTCCTGCCTCTTCTGCGGCCCATTCCTGGCCCATGTCTCCTCGCCGGACAGGACTGCCGTCGGGAGCATGCCTTCCCTGTTTCGTGGTTTGGAAACAGTTCCCAGACAGTAAATGTCTGGCTTCCCTCAGGGGTTCCCTTCCCTCAACCCTCGCAGCCCCCAGCTTCTGCTGTTTCCACAAGTGTTCTAGTCTTTGTTTGTTTGTTTTTAAACATGTATTTTTTTACTTAATTTTCTGAGAGAGAGAGAGACATCAGTATTGGCTGCCTCCTGCACACCCCCTGCTGGGGACGGAGCCCACAACCTGGGCATGTGCCCTGACCAGGAATTGAACTGATGACTTTCTGGTGCATGGGATGACCCTCAACCAACTGAGCCACACCGGCCGGGGCCACCTTCTTGGTTTTTTAAGGTTGGGGAAAGGATAGAAACAGAATTCTCAGGTGCAGCTCGATGACCCAGTGTTGCCCAGCTTGTGCTGCTGCTCTGCTAAGTACTGTTTGCCGGGTGTTTTCCCACGTCGCAGCCTTGGTCGGAGAGAATGCTTGGGGTTCGGCTCTTTTACCTGTGAAACTAAACAGATGTTAATTCGGACTTTGTAGAAGGTGGTTTGGTGTGTATTAGAATAAGAATAGCACAGACCCTCGTCCCACCAGTTCTAAGTATGTGTCCCCACGCTCGTCTCCAGACAGGCAGCACTTACGGTGGCGTGTGGTCCTCTGCAGGTGTGCTCACTACGGCTGTGTTTCTGAACGCAACTCTGGGCACAGCAGCTGAGTTTCGGTGGCTTTGTTTACCGAAGGCCTTCAGTGTGTCTGTGAGCCCTGAGACGCTCCGTGAATGGGCCTGTTTGTTTGCTTCTGCGTTTCCCTGGGCCAGAGACCTGGGTGACTCGGCACTCTTGCAGGGGGGCACCCACAGCAGGCACTTTTTCAGAGCTTTCGATGGGCATGGTGGCAAGTTGGCTCCTGTGCCGTCAACCACAGTGCACAGAAGCGTGATTTTAAGGAAATAGGCATGCCCTGGCCAGTTTGGCTCAGCGGTTAGAGCGTCGGCCTGCGGTCCTGGGAAACCCAGGTTCGGTTCCCGCTAAGGGCGCGTACCTCGGTTGCAGTTTGTCCCCGGCCCTGGTCGGTTGTGCGGGTGGCAGCCACTCGATGTGTCCCTTTCACGTCGATGTTTCTCTCTCTCTCTCTGTTCCTCTCTCCCTCCCACTCTACCTGAACAAAAAATGGAAAAGTGTCCTCGGGTGAGGATAAAAATAAATAAAGAAATAAAGAAATAAGGAAATCGGCGTGACCAAGGTGATGCACCAGGGAGAGGTGGTAGTGGTTTGAGTTGGATGTCTCTGCCTCCCTGTACCACCCCAGTTCTGGTGCAGTGACACCCGGTGGGTCTGAAAGTTACCCAGTGTTTAAATCCCCTCAAGTCAAACTGAAAGTAGCGAAGGTGAGGCCTGAGATGCATTTTTGTGGCCACAACCAGCCCACATGCCAGCATGTTCTGCTGTTCCCCTAGGTTTTGAGTCAGCCCGAGAGTTGTTGCCTAGTTAAATGTGTGAACCCTCAGGGTTCTTTATTTTACTATTAATTCTGGTGGAGCGTGGCTAAGGTCCCATCTCAAAATTACATCTAATCAAAATAGCATAGGAAGTTGTTGGAGGGCCTTCTTGGCGTGGCACCTGCCCAGCCCCTCCTCCCAACCACGCGAGCAGCCGGCCAACATTCAGGAAACCTCCGTGCGAGTGATCGGTCCTGTGCCCCTGGGGCTGGGAGGTGGGCAGGACAGACCCAGTCCCTGTGCCCGGCCAGCAGTCAGCAGGACTGGAGCTCAGCACCGTGGGAGGAGGCTCCGAGTGGAACCGGAGGCAATGGGAGAGAACTCGGTTCAGGCTGTGGGCTGTCCCCCAGGAGTGCTGCTGTCAGGACAGTTCAGACACCCCATCTCTTCACCTGTCCCCCCTGTGAGGGCAAAGACAGCATTGATTCCGCATTCCCCACACCTTGTGCAGAGCACCTGGTAGATGGTGAATAAGTTCAACCAGAGGATTTTTCGGGGCCTAGGGAAGAACTCCGCCTGCGCTCAGAGGGCCACCTGCGCACCTGGTGATGAGTCACCGAGTCCTGCCCGTGGCCCTCAGCCTCACCGGCAGAGTGGCAGTGGGGGCAGATTCAGTGCCAGGCAGGGCCTGTCCTCTCAGGACACCGTGGCACCATGGGCCCGGGGATGGCGGCCCTCAGAGCTGGTGTAGTCAGGCCTCACGCTGGTGTGGCTGGTGCTGCCGAGGGACCCACATGGGCAGCGCTGTGCTCAGGAGCCCGGCGCGACCCCAAGAAGGTGTCCTTGCTCTCCAGCCGCCCTCCCTCTCGTTCCTCTCGAGCTCAGTCAGGTGGCCCCAGGGCAGCCCGCAGAGCCCTCTCTGTGCCTGGGGGGCGGGGGCCCCGCAGCTGGGCTGCTGTAGCCTGGGCTCCCTTTGGGCACTGTCCCCTGGAGGGAGGGTGCGTGGCCCAGGCTTTTTAAAAGGTGGTTCTTTGTGTGTTCACCCTTTCTCCCACCAGCTTACCTGTGTCTGTCCCACAGAGGTCTGTACAGGAGGTCTGACTGTAAAGACAGAGCAGGCAAGGAGGGGGCATCATCGGTGCGTCGACCAGTGGGGTCGGGTCAGAGAGCGCACTGGGGGCTGGCGGCAGTGGAGCGTCGCAGCGTGAACACCGGGTCGGTTACTGTTCCTTGCAGGGCGCGGTGCGGCGGCGTCTCCGTCTCTGCCCTGATGACCTTGTACATGGTGACCAGGAAAGGTCTTGCAGTTCGGTGCGGTGTGTTTAAAAGAAGATAACGTCATATGATTCTCTTTATGTACCTTT